GGAAATGGCACGGCCATTGTCTAATCTGAACAATGCAGTGTTATCATCTATTAAATATACGCCGTACTACACAAATGGGTTTATCAATCATTGCGTTCCACTGACGCCGCCATTTCATGGCTCAGAGCATGGTGGGGTGGTATAGCCGAACGGCTAGCTGATGTCACACCCCTCGCTGTAAAGATGTCGATGACTTTCTGTCTACCAGACTGAGTGTCCAACGACACGTTTGCGATGCGATGGCTGAAAGCCAAGACATGCAGAAGGAATATGCAGACGGAAAATGGTAGAGGAGATGTGAATTCATTGCAGTCGTTGACCTGGTTTTATTAAACGATAGAAACGTCCTACAAATGCAGTTTCTGCTACCTTTAAGACGAAGCTTCCCCCTTGGTTTATTGGACCTTATAATATCGTGGCCAAGCAAGGTCTTACGTATACGCTAAACCTTCCGAGAATGATGCGCACCCACCCGGTGTTTTATGTGGACATGCAGAAGCAGTACCAGGATCCGGTGCAAGTGAAGGCGGAAGCGTTGGCGCCGGGGCGGCGCCTTAAGGCGCTCGGCCACCCAGAAGCTGAACCAGCAACTGGTTCTGAGCACCGAGTACAACAATGTTCGTTGCCAATGGCGCAAGGCGCTCCACCGTCGCTCGAAGTAACGTGTTTGGCTGCTCGACGGCTAGGAGCCGCTCCGACAGAGCACGATAATCCTCTACGCGAGGCAGTAGTGCTCCAGACTCTCAAGGTCTTCCGCACAGCAGTAGGCGCCTCGGAGAGATGCTCAGCGGAGCGCCGATAATGACGGACTCTGTCCTTCATCGCTCGAAGAGCATCGCGAGTCACAAATAGAAGCTCCCTCATAAAGCTTAAGGGTTTATTCTAAAAATTTAAGACGGCAACACCAAGTAAATTTTAGGGGCTGGACCTTACATTCATCTTGAATTTGCTAATCATTAAGGCAGCTTAAATGCGTGGTATACCAATGCGGATTGCCTTCTTCCAAGATGTATAAAGATTGCTTTATCTTTTGTAAAATGAGTGAGACAAATGACCTGGTACCGAGGCTGCACCCAGATTGGGGGGGTCTTCTGAGATTGATGTGGTGTCAAACATTGCGAAGCGCACCATTTATCAGTACCAAAAAAGCAGCGTGATATCCTAGACGCATTCTACAGTGCTACGTACGGAGGCGAATTATTGAGATAAATTATGGTGCCGAACACTACGTCACAAAGCCAATTTCTACATAATATTTTTGTATGAACATTCTGGTCGGCCGCATCCTTTCAATGCTCTTCGCCTCGTTCGCCGGTATTTTAAACTGTTCAAAGTAAATGATATCGCTACTGTTTCGCTTTAAAAAGAGTGGCCGTCTTTGCATCTGATTCAGAGTACAACTTTTGTGCCGCAAGAGCCGGACGGGATACCAGAAGTGGAAATTGTATCAGCGCAAAAGTGGTAACGAACCTCAGACATGCTGACGTGGATTTGAGAGATCTCCCGGCTGCTATACTTCTTCGCTATACTTTAGTCATCTGTACCTTGTCTGCCCCCTTTCGTTCTCAGTAGAGCGGTACAAAGTGTCGGGATTCCGCGCATTGTTGTTCGTCATGCCCCTCGCGAAAACGCTTTGAACACAGTAGGCACAGGACGGCCATTGGAAAGATCAACGTTTCGTTGATTTTCGAAGAGGTCGTGGGCAAAGATTTTTAGTCTAGCACCATTATATCGAGTTTCGTAAAGCCTGGAAAAGAATCAATTGATTCTAGAGCACCTTGAGCTACTTTTGTCGCGAGACATCCGAATAGTAGACACTAATTGGACCCTTCTAAGATGTAAAATACAGTTACGACATCCGCGCGACTTGATCATCAAAGGTTCTGTCATATCTCCAAAACGAGTTTGGAATTCAAATAATGTTTCGCACTGGACAGGAATTCGAGGTTTATTCGACCAAGGTATGGCGTGGCTGGGGTGCCACAAGCTCAGCAACGACGGAAAGTCGGAAAGGATGGTGCCACGTACTTCCCTCCTTGTGGAGCTATTGCGACTTACAACCAGGAAGCAGAAGCGTTTTGGCACTAGCACGAAGCTGAAATAGCTTTCGTGCAGAACTTTCACATTGCGCAGATACTGACAATAATGTATCCGCTGCAATCTTGTGTAGCAGAAGCACTATTTCTTGTTAAGTATCTCTAGATCATTCACGCCTCTCGCCGATGAATCTTTGGGGTTCTCTGTTGTTAGACAAGAATACCTGAAACATTGTATGAGGCCTTACTCTCCAAATATTGAAAATTGCACTTCATAAAGTTTTAAGCACTTATCGACATTTTTCCTTTCTTTTTTAATATGATAGAGATTACAAAAGTCAAACATTCCTCTAGAAGAACCAACTATTCCTAAAGCAACGTGTAGAGAGAGCGTTGGATAACTCGAAGGTCATACGCGACCATATGAGCTGGTGGACGATTCGTCGGATCTTGAGCCAAACAACGATCCGCTAATAGACGAAGATCTGGCGGACAGTTTGCACCAAATCGTGGACGAAGTTCACCCACTGCAACAAGTTGAAGAATAGCAATATCATTCAAACGATTGCCAGTTGGTCCTCGCACATCTTCGTATGGAATTGCATGTGTATCAAGTTCCGACAGGACAATTCCAAATGCATAAATGTCAACCGACTGGTCATATTTGTTACTACCTTGAATCACTTCAGGTGCAAGCCACCGACCAGTTCCAACCGCTGCTGTCATTGTTTCGTCCACTGATTTGTACCTTGACGCGCCAAAATCAGTAACTTTCGCGGTCATTTCTCCCGTTAAAAGAACATTGCGTGATTTCAGGTCTCGATGGATCAATGGTGGCGTGAATGAATGTACATACACAAGTGCCTCAATGATATCCACTGCTAATTGCAATAATTCTTGACTCCAGTGACGCGGAGAGGTTGGATTGATGAGATAATCACGCAAATCTCCATTTTCCATGTATTCAAACAATGCTTGCAAATCACTTTCGATCGTCCATGCACACCCTACTAGTCGTACAATATTTGGATGATCAAACGGTGCGGCCATTTTGATCTCTTCAATAAACGCTTGAGTTCGTTGCTTTGTAATTTGATCAACTCGCAATCGCTTGGACGCTAGTAATTGAGACCCACGATACTTGACGAGCCATATAATTCCAAATGCACCACTACTGATCGTTCCAACGTCTTCAATTTCGTCATATTTTACTTGCAAGGACAATAATTCTTCGTCGTTCCACACGGAATAAGCAGAATAGCTTTGATTACTATGCGTACTTCGTGTCGAGATACGAGGTGAATTACTCACGTCGTCGTATTCATAATCAGGACAAAAGCGAGGACCACCATTGGCTGGCGTACGGCGTCCACCACGATACCCTTTTACAACAGGAGACCGAGTCAAAGTCAAAGGCGGTGCCAAGCCACCAAAGTACGTTTCACGCACACTTATCGAGCGACGACTTGTATGTTTTCGTACACGCGAGCGATGGACACAAATGCCAATTATTATGAAAATTCCAAGGAGACAAACGCCTCCTAGAAATGCACCTACGATAACCATGGCACTTGATAACGACGAGATTTCGTCATTGCGTCTGGCATCAGATATACACACAGTAAGTAAATGAACTTGCCGTCGATCAGCTGAGTGACAAGTATCAATACTTTGAAAAAAATCGGCATTGTTGATATCAAGATTCGTGAGCGCATTTAAAAATCCAATTTGAGCTTGAGTGAACCAAGGTGCTACAAGTGGATTGCCCTTGATCTGCAATGCAGTGAGTTTATCGTGGATAAAAATGCTAGCAGGGATTTCCGTTAAGTGGTTGAGACTTAAATCGAGCGTCGCAAGGTTTGGAAAGACAGCGCGAAAAGATGTGAGACGATTATCATTGATGCTTCTATCGAAATACAAAGGATAAACTCCTTGATCAAGCTACAATAGCAAATGTGAAGTTGTACGTACAAATGCACGAGTGAGTTGAGTGCAGCAGTTGCTGCAACTTCCAAAATATAATTTTTATCAACATATCTGATCATGCAAGAATTTGTTAAGTTTGAAGTTGATCGAAATCTCAACTCAAATCTTCACTTACAAGGTTTGAAGATTTGTAAATGTGGCCATTACGGGTGGAAACGCATAAAGAAGTGTATTTGTAAGACTCAATGTCTGAATGGTTGGTGGAAAGACACTGGGTAGTTGTTCAAGTGTTGCTTCATTGGAAAGATCGAGATTATTTAACTTGACACTCGTCACTCTCGAGTTAATCGTCATGCTGTCCGAGACAAATGTCACATTTGCCACTTTACTCTTCACCGAACTGTTAATACTACTCCCACCAACTAGGACACTATTAACATAGTGTCATAAGTACCTGTGAAATCCAATACGTCTCATATCTGATACTTACAATGACGTAACACTCGGTTGGAGTTCTATCATCTTAATGATTGTCATGACGTCGTTGTTTGCCGTAGCAAACGTCGTTGTATCATTTGGAAGCACTTGAAGTTCTTTGAAAAACTTTGTGTCATTCTGTGCTTTCGCTATCTCTTGATTGCTTTTGTATGATCCAAAATTTACTAAAAATGTAAAAGTTGTTGGATCGGATGCCGGCTTGACAAAACACTGAACGACGCACTCGTTGGCTGAGATACATGATACTCCAGATGGACAAGCATTATACACTAAACATGGTTCGTACTGTTGACACACGTTACTACAAGATGTTGACAAGGTTGATGTCGCCATTTCACACGCATATCCTGTTGCGCTTTGAAAGAAGAGCAACAATATCGTTGGGAAGCCACTCAATCGACTCGTCCGCCTCTTGTGGGACTGGCAGCATCGGATCATATCGAATTGAGATCGAGGATTCTTACCCGCTAGAAACGATGAACATGTAGCCGTCCAAGTGGCGAGCTGTCTTTGCTTGACGTGAGTCACTAGATTAACTAGCAGCTGGAAATCTTCGTGTGTTGCGAGGTTATGGCGACTGTAAAAGGTTTAAGTCTCAAGGTGAGCAGATGCGGTGATAACATTGCGACTATCCTTTCTTCTAAAGCTGACGTATGCGTGGCCACTCTGCTTGGTGCAAGTTAGTTGTAGAAATCGATATCCTGTCAATTTAATAGTAGTCATATGATTTAAGCTTAATGTTTGTGACAAGGTAAAGCTGTTCAGAATACATGAATTGTGAAAATAAATAAAAATGAAAAGAATAGTGGCATCCCCATGAAAGTGGTACTTGGAGCAGCTTGGGGTCTCATTTAAACAGGCGGGAGGTAAGAATTACGGAGATTGAGCTGGCTACTGAGCTGTTGTGGCTGACGAGTCGCTCTTTATACATGAAAACGGGCGGCCATGTTCCACCATTCTACTATATATCACTTGAGTAATAATTACGGTGTTAAGAGAGATAGTTCAAGAGCATTGCGGGGGTCTTTGTACTTCATAAACAATAGATGCAACTACAATTGAGCTACAAATCCCATTGTTGTGGAGCTGATCGTCTCTCTTTGACTTTGTCCAAGAAAAACTGGTAAAGCTCATTCCTTTTGAGCTCATCTTCACTTGCATACGACAAACCTAGAAAACTCTTGACGTCATTCTTCTGCCAGTGATTTTCGGCCCAGATATGAGCTCTTGCCATCTTTTCCAATGTGACAGCATCCTCGTCAAAGGTCGGGTCCAGACTCTTGGACATCGTTTTATCAAACATAACAGCATAGCGTTTGTACACTTGAAAAACCTTTGTATTTTCAATCTTCTCAAGCTCATGACGTAGCTCGTTGATTGTCATGTCGTGCTGCGGAGAAATCGTGTCGAGCTTTAAGTTTTTCCACACGGAATAAGTGGAATCACCTCTGTTGAGTCGAGCTGTGAGTCTTATCATCAGAATGTCATCTTGATATTTGGAAAATAGTGGATAGTGCTTGTGCTTCGATAACTCACTCAAAGGCACATTTTGCATGCCAAGCTTTGTCTTGACGTAATCGAAAGACCTGCGACGCTCAAGCCAATAGGCCATTCTCCACTTTAATGGAATTAGTCGTTCAAGTAACGATAGAAGCCACGACATACCAAACAGCCTCTCTTCTGTATCGGACAACTCGCGAGGCCTGACATCATGTTTGAGCTTGTCTACATGTGGATTTTGATGTATAAAATTAAGACGATTTAAGGTTACGTCTTGATACTTATTAGGAGATAAAGAGGCGCAGGTGCACGTGAAATAGGTGGTTAATACAACCACCAGAGTGCAGTACATTTCCGTGCTGTATAGTGACAATTATAATATGTAGCACAGTAACAGATTGCTTAGGTAGGTAGGTAGGTAACTTTCAGTTTGGTTCAAGAAATCGTAAGAAGTGAAAAAATTAACATGTTCGTTATGTTGCATCATATCTCAGAAGATTGTTGTGTCGCGTCATTTCAGATTTTCAAATTTTTGTAATAAGCTTTGGTCAGCCTACAACTTGGGATTAAAAATGGCTTTTTATAAGCGATCAAGCAGTCCAGGACTTGCCGTGTACTTCGTACAGAGAAAACTTTGACTCTACTGTTAAAAAGTTGGTATGATGAGAATTACAACTAAATGCAAAGCTCGGCTGAGAGGTACTCCTGTACCTCTTATATTGCCTACCCTTCAAGATGTCTGAGTCAGCGACGTGTCTAAACTTGCCGTTGAACTTACAATGATGACCCGAGACGATGTTGGCGCCAGGAAACGATGGAATCGCAGCCCGTCTATGTGTGGGACATTTCAATATCTACGAATCTATGTCAATTAACGCATAGAAGGCGGGGGCATACGCACCACCCAGGTGCGGGACCGAGCTACAAGAACTTAGCTTGCTCTGATTTCAAGAGTGACAGATGTTGGAAATTAGATCCAGCTTAAAATAAATACCAAATATATGAGCTTTCTCGGTAGATGCAGCACGTCGACTTTCTCCGAGAGTCACGGCGTGCGTCTACAGCTGAGATGGTATGGCGTGGCAAATTTCCGAGCCATGGGTCGACTGCAAGTCAAAAAAATTTAGGTGCCACGCACTCCCTCTTGGTGATTAGCGAGTCATGAAGTCACCTTTGCTAAAAAGAAGAGGTCACTCTAGCACCAGCACAAATATACGATAGCTTCGGTACAGGATGTGAGCTTATCTAATATTAATATTAATGGTATTGCATGGTGCATCGAGCGGAGCTCGAAAGGCGATCGCGGCAGTGAGCCAAGGTCGTAGGATAAGACGGAAAAGAGAAATTATACATTGCGATCGCCAGAGTGTTTTTCTTTCAGATAAGAAAAGACGGCTGTTTCCACAGAGTTTCTGGCAAAATGTTAAAGAAAAGTTGCGCGCTTTTATCTTCTATGCTAGAACCGTTGCAAAGTGGACGCCATTGTGTTTTTGCAAAGTCTTGTATCAAAGACAGCGACTGTAAGTCGACCAGGCCCCAAATTTTCGAAGGACAGTTCAATCTTGTCACGATGTGACGGAACTGCAGAGTCAGCACTATTGTGTGAAGGATCCATCGCGCAGAGCATCAACATTTCACGTGTTTGAGATGGAATAGATTACTGTCCCCTGTAATAGAGTGACTGAAATAGTCCTGAAGATTAAGGGTCTTCCCGCGCTTCCTCCGACGGAAGGCTTTATAGAGCTAGATTGATTATCCCTTGAGAATACGTGTGCAAGGAATTGCAAAATGGTGCAGTCACTGAATTGGTACGGTTGATATCTGGCAAAGAGCTACTCATATCATCCGTCATGAAAGAATGCCTTTTTTGACATTTACAAAGCACTGAGTGCGAGGAGTGGGACAGCTATCCTCGCAAAATCAACACATTTCTCTATCCTTCGTAAGGGACACCTCGACGTGGTGATGAGAGATTCGCCACGCCTGTTACCATCGGGTAGGGGAGTGTGTCATCGATACGATTCGGCTTCCACAATTATATATTGTGCTGCACGGCAACGAACCTTAACAAGTAAAAATATGGGAGGCCATTGGTGCTTTCTCCTGTGCAAAAAACGAAGCATATTTATTTGGAGGGATTGAATCCTTACACTCGGCGCCTTCTAAAGGTTTACGGCAAGTGGCATGGTCGGCTGCATTTTGATCAGTGCCAATTGATGATTACTATCAGCAGTTGATGAGTGACAAAGATATCCCTCTCGCTATGGTAAGTACTCCAAGTGAGAGTCGCTAATTATGCCACAAAAATTGATCAATGCACCAATAACGTTAAATTGTTTGGTGACTCAGCTATTCAGGCCACATTTTGGCTATCTACAAGCCTATTTAGACGATATATCCGTCGATATGAACAACCAAATTAGCATCTGCGAGCAGTACGTGCGAAGAGATCCCGCGGAGATCAAGGTCGACATAGATTGGCCAGTGCCTTTGCTCCAAAGGGGTTGAGGAAATGGATTGTCTCATCCATCACTATAATGTACAAAATGTCGAAATATCACCATCCTTAATTGATCTTGTTAAAAAGAATGTTAAATGGTTTGGGCTGCGGCAGAAGAGGCGATCTTTGAGGCTATGAGAGAAAGTCTCATGCGTGCCACAATTTTGGCTCTTCTGGATCTAGATAGGCCATTTCACGTTGCTGGTGACACTTCAACCGTTGCAATAGGTTTCATTTTGCTCCGAGTAGATACTAGTGGCCATGGACCCGTGGTCGTATTTGGGTCCTGCCAGCCGATACCTGCTAAGAAGAATTGCCCTAATCAAGAAGCTACTTACGATAAGGTATGCCCTCAACAAGTTTAAAATGCACTTGCTTGGCTCTCAGCCGTTTGTGATCTGTAGACGTCTTGTGTCGTTGCGCACAGCAACATCGTCCCCGCATCTCTCAAATAGAATAGCAAGACAATTACACTTTTTTGCCGAGTTTGCCATAGGGATAAAATATAAGCCGGGTCGACCTAATGTGGCGGCGTATGCGCTTTTGCACCGCCCCGACAAGAATTTGTCGCATACCTACTGTGTGCGGACCAGGAGCAACATGTGTTGCATTGGCTGAAAACTTTGCTAGACGAGAAGTCTAAAAATCTTCAAGCGTTGCGGCACCAAAAACGCGCAATTGCACGCATGCCTGTTTCCAAGGTTTGCTGTATAACAGCGGTGACCCACACATCAGGCAATGTGCTATATGATGAGGAGCCAAGTACAAAATACTGTACAAGGCAGATGGTTCTTCTTTAGGTGACTACTTTGGAAATTGAAATGATATACTGCCCGAGCGTGATACTTTGGTGGTCTAACACGAATGGTTGGGTGGCCACATATGTGCGAACGTGTGAAATATGTGAGCGGGTTACATGCAGCGGAAACGCCGGTTCTAGCAAAGTCAGAGCAGTTCACAATTATGGACTATGTTTTCGGTTCTTTATAAGACGCACCGGCCTGTGAACCGTCTGAGCAAGATGGATCATCTTGCTTATGTCTGCAGTACTGCGATCGTTGGGTTTACAGCCAAGCTTTTCCTCGTTAAAGTGTTTTTGCAGCGCAGCTGCCGTGGTCCTTTGCTTAGATGAAGCTAAGTTAAAGTCACCGGTCTTACGTTCTTTTCAAAAACCAGTACAAGTGTAGCGGATCGCAACCCGCCATTTCTAAGTACTAAATCCTTACCAAGGCAAACGAACACTTCTGTCTAAAAGCGAAACTTTATCTTACTGGTTCAGTTACGGCAGAGCCGCCAATATTCAAACCCTAGGTATTTCGAATTACTATCGAAATACTTCTTGATACAGAGAACCTAATTTACATAGAAATATGCATTACTACTTGGAATCCTGCACGTGGTGGCCTCATATTACGGTGTAGCCGCACCATTGTGTTATTACACTAACTGTGTAATTCACACTCTATGCACGGTCGAACAATATTGTGCGACCCGCCCTTTCTTACAAGGGCACGTGTAAACCCGTTACACTCCCCCATTAAAATTGTGAATATCCCCAATCCACATTTAACGGTCGCCTGATACGAGACTCGCGTGATGAGGCACCTTAACGTTCCTTAAGAACAACTTCATACCTTCTCCGCTCTATGAGCCCTGTATTTACGACACGCAAAACACCCAGCCTAGCTGGTAGCGAGGGCGCCTGCGGGTAAACCCTTTTAACTTCTTCGGCACAGGGTGCATCTCCGGAAAGTACGTCCTCGGCAACCGGGTGCAACACACCGCGCCCACCCGGGCGACGGATTTTCTCGTCGAGGAGTAGGAGGAAGTCGACTACAAGTCGTATACTCTTTTTCCAGCATGGGATGACGAGGAAACACTGCGGACACCATGTCCGCACCCCGACCTCTCGGCTTCGGGGGAAGTGGTATTATTACCAATCGTCTCGACGAGGCACAGGAGCAGCTGTTGCAGACTGCTCACAGGGCGGCTCTCATGCGCTCGTCTCCACGATCGGTCTTAGACCCTCGTGTAGAATACGGCTTCCGCTCGGCGGATCCCGCTACTGAAGCGAAAGGCGCAATCACTCGATCGTTAGGCGTCGACGAAGTCGGGCCTCAGCCATTACGCAAGCTGAGTTTGATTAGCGTAAAGCTCTGCAAGCTTGCTTTTTGGTACCCCAAGACATCCCAATGTATCGGTACCGCGCTTAACTTCGAGCTCAAAAAGGAGGTGCTCCTGTTCCCGCAATGCGGATTATTCCTGTGGTGCTCGCCCCTGTCGATACCGCTGCAGATGACGATGAGCCATTTGTACGAGGAATATAGCGGCACCGGAAACTTTATTCGCTGTCTTTCATACAGCGAAGCCTTATGGAAATAGACGTGTGCATTTGGCGCCATCTTAGATTTGAGTTCGCCAAACGCGCCAAATTTCTGCGTATTGTCGCCACGCGACATATGCAATCCATAATGCTCCTGCGAGCTTTGTGGTTTCCCGCACGGGCGAGTCTTCGACCACAGCAGCTCAGAATCATAGCTTGAGCTCCGCTCATGACCCTTCCGCTTCCGCGCCACTGCCGAGAAGCGCGGTGTGCAACGACGCGAATCGTCATGATCCTACTGATCATAAGCATCTACGACGTCTGGGAAGTCATGCGGAAGTGGCCCCTCAAACTCCCACGAGTTCTCGGAGTTTGGGTATCCCCGCCACTTTAAAAAATATTAGATTAAATCCTGGCAACAATGTCGGCCCACAAGGCGTTCAACGTGGTAGGTGACGCCACCACTCTCATCGAGAAGAGTCGGCGGCGGATGATGACGATGGTCGATCGCCGTCCGGTGACTCGCGACGCTCTTCGAGCGTTGGAGGACAAGTCCGTCGTCATTGGCACTCTGCTGAGCATCTCTCCGAGGCGCCTACTCCTGTTCGGAAGACCTCCGGAGTCTGGTGCACTATGTGCGCCGACTGCCTCGCATAGAAGATTATCGTGCTCTTTTGAAGCGGCTCCCAGCCGTCGAGCAGCCAAGCACGTCACTTCGAGCGATGGTGGAGCGTTTTGCGCCATTAGAAACGAAAGTTGTTGCACTCCGTGCTCAGAACTAGTTGCTAATTCAGCTTCTGGGTGGCCGAGCGCGAAAATGTTGGGCGCCGCCTCGGCGCCATTATTTTCGCGTTCACTTGCGCCGGATCTTCTTACGGCTTACGCAAGCCAACAAAAAACACCGGGTGGGTGCGCATCATTCTCGGAAGGTTTAGCGTATACGTAATGCCTCGCTTGGTTACGATCTTAAGAGGTCCAATAAACCGTGGACGGAGCTTTGTCTTAAAGACAGCAGAAACTGCATGTGTAGGAAGCTCTTAGCGTTTAATAAAACCAGGTCACCGACTGCAATGTATTCACATCTCGTCTACCATTTCCATCTGCGAATTCCTTCTGCATGTCTTGGCTTTCAGCCATCGCATCGCGAACGTGTCGTAGGACACTTAGTCTGGTAGACAGGAAGGCATCGACTGTTTTTCGGACAGTGAGGGGTCTGACATCAGCTAGGCGTTCGGAACGGCGGAGTTCTGTAGCTTCGGGCAAAGGCGCAGGAGGTGCGTGGAACTACTTTCATCATCTTTTTGGAAGAAAACCTGCGTCTTTGCGCAGTAAAACACAGCCTTGGTGGAAAAAATCAAACTGAGCTGTCAATTTTGCGCTGATTCCAGCATGTCCATGCGGCTGTATGAACATTGGTTTAGATTACCGCTCAACATTAAACTGTTTTTAAAGTAGAAATGACGATTCATGGATTCGTAGCGTTTTAGTGTAAAGCATTTCACTCACAATTTTTCTTATTCTGCCCAATCCCAAGTCGTTATGGGCGGGTGGGTCGTTTCAAGAGGCTTCACACCTCTGGCATTTGTTATTTATCTTCACTTTGAGGGTTTACAGCGTCAAACATGGAAGACGGCGCGCTGACTGCTGGTATGTCCTTTTGTCTATCTTCTGAATAAGTTATCTTGATATATAATTCACATCTATCGCTTTAACAGAAAGTGCTGAGCCAGTTGTGACGGAGACGACGCCTACTGAAGAGGTGCCTGCTACTGACCCAGTGGTAAACGAGGAGGCGGTCGCTGCCGAGGAGTCTACAGCAGCTTCTGAAAAGATCGACGAAGCCGAAGCTAAGGAAGAGGAAGTAAATGTTGAGGCCGACAGCAAAGATGAGCAGACGCAAGAGCCTTCTGCTTCAAAGAACGACGAGGATGAGATTAAGCAGGCAGAGTCTGTGGCTGAAAACGTGCAGGACAAGGTAGAGGTACAGGCATTACCCATCCGTGCGTACTTGGACCAGACCGTAGTGCCCATCTTGTTGCAGGGCATGTCAGCGCTAGTCAAAGAACGTCCGCCGAATCCAATTGAATGGTTGGCTGCCTATCTCATTAAAAACAACCCACAGGGTGCTAGTGGTGGCGGCGACTCAAAGTAATGGAGACAGCCACTTTATAATTAAAGCCTATAAACTTGCTATTATTGCAGCATGATATCACCCCATAGCAAGCTACCGTTTTTGAATTCATCGGTTATTTTATCCCAATGTTGTATGACATCTTCACAGTTGCTTCCAGCAGACCCACGGGACAAACCATAATTCTAAAAACATAGTGCTTGCTTAAGATTCGTAGTTTGTTCCTAATCTTCACCGCGACCACGGCCTCGTCCACGGTTTCCACCTCGGCCGCGTCCGCGTGCTCCATAGCCTCCGTCACCACGTCCTCCACGTCCTCCTTCGCTACGTCCACCACGTCCACCACGACCTCCACGACCTCCTCGGTTTCCAATACCCCCTCGACCTCCACGACCACGTCCACGGTTGGCTTGACGATCTATTAACGAACAGCGAATCAATTAAAAAAAAAGCATAGCCATTTTAATCGCCTAAGCCCCCACCCCGCTTATTAAGATCGTCCTCATTTACCATGTCCAAGATCTACATATCATAACCATTATTCCTCTACTCAATATCGAAAAAAACTCGAAGTTGACCTCATTTGGCACACGAATATACTTGATAGTATTGCCTCGAATGTAGCATTCAGGCATCTTCCAAAACCGGTCACCATCCTGCAAATACATATAAGAATGCACGTTAAAGACCTTGAGTGACATATATTATTGACCAGCTGCAGCACCTTGGACGTGCAGATAACCTCTCGTAAATTGACATTCATCCAGGTGTCGCAATTCACAAGGTGACCGTTGTACGTGTCTCCATTTTTTAGCTCCACCAGCTGCGATGCATTCGATTCATCAGATAAGTACAGCAACACATTCATTTCGATGTAGAAAAGTACCCAGTAATCGTACCATGGGATGACCCTGCGCTGTCTGAAGCAACGAAAGCGGCAGCTACAAATACAGGGCACACAACTCAATAAATTCCATTCTCAGTGCTTGACAGCACCTCTTCAATGATCATTTATGAATAAAGCGAAGTATTTGTCGCTTGAAAGCGCGCGCATCGCCCGTGACTAACCATAACAATCGTATACAGCAGCCCTGTAGTATGATCTGAGTGCGCTATTTGCTGAGTGTTGGAAATAAGGTGAGCCACATTATTTCAGGACAAATATTTTATTTTGAATTAGTTTAGATCAATGGTAATGCAGCCTCATTTCTAAATTTTTATAAGACCTGTGTTCGGTAAGTTCTTCTTGCCAAATCAAGAAGCTTCTGCGCGGTATTTCGCCCGCCTTCTTTACTCTGGTATTTAGGTCTCGACTCACGTATTGCTAATACGCGTCGGAGATTTATGAGCCAGAGAAAATGAACTTTACTTATCGATTTTAATTGCCATGTTTTGGAGCAGACAATGGTTTCTGTGAACGAAGTGCCTCCGAATACTAGTGGTAGCAACAGTGCCGGCAACAGTGCTGGCAACGATGAGGACAAGAAGAAGACAGAGGCTATCACCATTCGAGTCAAGGATCAGTCGGGTGAAGAGACATTTTTCAAGGTGAAACCAAACACTAAGATGGAGAAAATTTTTAGCGCCTATGCGCAGCGTAAGGGTGTACCAGTCAGCGCACTTCGTTTCCTCTTGGATGGAACGCGTATCAGCGGTGATCAAACGCCTAAGATGCTGGAATTGGAGGACCAGGATCAAATCGACTGCGCGTTGGAACAAGTTGGTGGCTTTCGATGCTAAGACAATGCCTTCATTTATGTATGGAAAGAAGAGAGAGTCGTCAGTGAACATGAAGAATCTATAGTGCAAATGTTCTTACATCATTAATATCAAGCAACTCGATACCCTCACTTCCATTTTGCTCTTGAAGTTGATTTTCTTATGACATTAAAAAGTAGTAATTGTAAATGAATGCGCTAGCTACTATCATTAGTCCAATATAAATACTTGTAACATTGATAGTACTATGACTATTTTCGAACTACTATACTTCTTCTACAAATGTTTTCTTAACCAGGTCGGCGGGTTCACGGGAATTGTTACCAAGTCCGTGTCGAAAAGCTCTATAAATTGCTCATTTTGTAGTCGCACCTTACTGCCTGCAAACCTCCGATATTCTTCAAAGATCGATGACAGATGCCAGCCTTGAATCTTACGCAGACAGCCCACCACGGCACCTGAGGATTAACATTATTAGTCATGATATACTACTTAAGAAATTATTTTGATCTGACCTGTGCGGTCTCGACCGAGGTGACACGTCATGTATAGCGGGTAATTTGAGCGGTCGAGGATAATATCTAATGCGGCAAGCACCGTCTCTTCAGAAAGCGGTTCCCATGCCTTGCGGCGACTCTCCATGCGCGTATTGCCCCCCAGAAACACCAGCTGGATCTCCTGCTCCTCGACAAAGCTTTGAAATTGTGGATTAGGTTCTTCTAACGCCAGATAAATTATAGTCCGCAAGTTGAGCCGCTCGAGGAACGGAAAATTGAGCTCGTTTGGCTGTCCGGAGCGATATAGTTCTTCTTCGATCATGCCGTAGTTTACAGGCGGAATGAAGTACGACATCGCAATGGTTTTAAGAACGTAAAGCAATTGCTAGCTAAATGTATACTTGAGAAATTCTTAAATTATATTTAAACGCATTATTAAATTTTGTACAGAATCACCGTCGTACAAATTCCCGCTAAATTCTCTACCACTTATTACAATTCGCTAGCTTCATTGCCTTATGCGGCACGCACACTTTGAGTCTCATCGCCGCCAAGTGTTCCATCACACGATACATGGTGTAGTTTGGGCATCATCCCACCAGCTACAGCCGCCTGAATAATGCACTGAACGCCACGAGCACTTAAAAAATTATCCTCTAATCCAAGAAAACGCATTTGCGGGCATTGCGCGCTTGATAGCAGCTCGACTACTGGTTTGACACAATTGTCTGTGATGATGTTACCACCCATGCACAAATACTTAAGCTGTTGACAACGACCGACGCGCAAAGCAGCCATAATACGCTTCAATCCAGACTCCCCGATATAATTACGACGAATATCCAATCGCACCAATTTTGGCAACGATCCAACTTTAAGCAGCCACGCAACATCTACCGTGCCCACATCCGAAAACCCATTGCCTCCCAGCAACAAGTCTTCTAGAACAGGACAGGAGCCCTTGACCAAAGCTGCGCATAACAAGTGCAAAGCGTTGCCGCGACAAGTGTTTGTAAATACCGACACAAGGCGGAGACTGCTCAATTGTCGACAAGCACCTAATTCAATTCCTTCAGCAAGCTGTTGCACCACTTCTTCTCCCACATTATCGTGCGAGATATCCAGTTCACTGCAACCCCAAGCGTGCAGTGCCGGGCCACTTTCTTGCTGATCACACAGTGGTTTCAGCGAATTATATACGCTAAGGCCCGTGAGATTCGGAAACTGGCACAAAAGAGTAGCAGCCGGTCGAGACGGTACTACAGCTGCATGTATTGTATACGCGAGTTGAAGTTGACGTAATTCAATCTCGAGAGTATACACACACCGTGGCAAAACACGGTGTGCGAACCGGTTAAGTTGCATACAACGAATGGTTTCCAGGCCTGGAAGGAATGCAAATATAAGACCTAGGACCGCTTCATCCATGATAAAAAACGATGCTTCTTCGTTTAATTGCGCACGCGTGCGCGGAGTACCACTTAAAGTAGATTTTATGCACTCTGCGCGTGGACGTTTAGTTGATAATCTTGGCACGCCAAAAGGCGTGAGCATACGATGTTTACGCTTGCCAAGCTGTGGCGCTGCTGTAACTAGTCCATTTCCCAAAATCACCGCCGCTGCGCGACGACGCGAAACTGCAGCTTCGTGAAAACTGAGGGAAACGAGTGACTGTAATCGACGACGGAGCGTATTCAAATCGCGGTATTCATGAAATGATGCGGCCCGAGAGTAGAGAGATAGTTCAATGCGTTTGGCCAATGATGGTGTGCGTGCGTCGGCACATGTGGAAGTTTCTACGCGTTTGCTGCGTGTCATTGCAATGATGCGTTGAACCATAAGTCGGCGCTCTGGTAGATCAGCAGGAGACTGCCAATGAGCTAGATCAGCCGTGTATCGTTCTGGTAGTAGGCCGGCCGGTAATGTCACTTGGCTAGAGCCCGAGCCAGACCGCAGTGACGATGCTACAATCGATGTAGCTTGCGTAGAAGTAGTCGCCATAGCTGCAGGTGTCGTATCATCATCCGTGCTAACCGCCGTATCAACGCTAAGATTGGCCCAGGGCTGACGCGCGGCAGTAGGCTCAAGTGTACGTGGCGTGGCCCCGCCCTCAGGTAGATCCACAGCTAGCTTCGTAACGAGGCGGGCGGTGGAAGGCGTAAGCGCGCCCTGGCGCTCAGATGAGATCTCGCGTGGGCTATGCATCTTAATGAATTGTGACTGTCTAAATGAAAAGTATCGCGAATTGTTGGTAAGCCTTGGTCCTGATTTCTTCCACAAGATGTGGCGCTTTTACAGTCTGGTCGCGAGTACGGACTGGGAATGTGGAGATCCCCTTCTCTGTGTAGAAGCTGTCTCTGGAGCTGCTACTGAAGCAGCCGATTGAAAAATGGTACATTGTTATCGACCCATGACTGAGTGAGGGCTCGGAGACGGTGCGAAGAAGGCTGAAAAAGCAAGGAAAACTATCTAACGGACGGCTAAGTTACCCTATCTTAGTAAATTTGACTCAATCGTGGGCCAAATTTAGCCAGTCTTTCTCCAGTCAGATCAGATGAACAGGCCCATGCTTCTACTAACGTTTCCGTATCATCAAACATATGTGAGCATGCTGGAATGTCAGTGCGTACTGTTATTTCTTTTCTCGTAGGCAGATCACACATCTTTGCGCTGGTTGCACGCATGTCTATTGTGCTACATGTATTTTTCGTACTACTTAGATAAGATAATTTTTCAACGGACATGCGTTAAACTGCGAGATTTTCGCCATAGCCTTTTAACCCATGGATTCCACACAAAGGAATTTAGACCAGAATTGACCTCTAATAGGGCGTTTCGGCCTTATCTTGTTGCCGCTAGCGCAGTCGCATACTGTAACGGATTTCTTGACGCATAAGACTGTTGTCTTGCCGGGCGAATGCGGCTACAATTCGACACAATAAGATGAAACGAAGTTTCCAGCAACTTTACCATTACTGCAGTGCTTATTAAGACGGTGCTCATTTCATATCCAACCGGCTGAGCCTTCAGCTGACGTGTGTAATTGGCTGGCTGTCCCCGTCATATTTGCGTAGAGGCAGGCAGCCACTTGGGGTCAGCTGAAGCATGCGCCACGGGTTGAGATGAAGTTGCATCGCGTTTTTGGGTGCATAGCGAATTTTCTAAGTCAATTTTTTTTGCACTCTATTACACAATCAATACGACGGCACTGTCCCACTACATGAGGCGGTAGGTAAAGACTGGGCTCAGCTGCAGCAAAAAACGAAAGAACGCAGATGTAAATCCAATGGTAGCAATTTGCTGATTTGAAGCCAGCGTGGGTGCCGTGCAGATGCTATTCGGTGGCGTGCGAAAACAAAAGATTCTACAAGTACCGCTCTGCGTTACAGCTGGTGTGTTTTCTGGTTAGAGAAAAAATATAGTCGTCGCACATACATTTCGTCAAAGAACATAACCTAATGAAATGGCTAAAAAAATACATGGCTGTGGTAGTCGCACCGCCGCTTATATTAGCATTACGCCTCGCCAATGGACTCTTTCGAGAAAGACGAGCGAGATCCAATAGCGCCACTAACCTTCAAGTCGATTACGCTTTTAGTCGTGTTTGTTGCGGTCTTTGCTAATCCCATTACAACAGCTTTGTATATTTTTGGGTCTGTAAGAGCACCCACTTCAGCTGTCAAAATCTCATTCTGTGTGGTAAAAAAAGTGGTCCTCAGAGATGCCGACAAGAATAGTAGATGCTATCATGCGAGAATTCCCTGTAGTATCCAAAGAAATAAACACTACATTACTTATACCGTGTGTTTGACATCAGTTGTGATGCCATTACTACTTCAATAAGCACTATTTTTGATGATCCTTCTCGCAAATCTTGCGGTGATAGATTCTTCAAATGTGCAGCGCAAGAGCTAAATTAAATGTTAAATTGCACAACAAAGAGGTCGTTGATTGTGAAACGTATAAGTCGACTCATTAAATCAGCTACAGACGACAGCGTTTTGTGCTGTGGTCGTCGTCGCTCCGCGACAATTTAACACCAAGCCCAACCTGGCAGTTTCCGACCAAAGATAAATTACGATGCTATGCTCGCTAGCTACTTGCTCGTCTTGAACTCCACCTTTTCAGCAATAAGCGCCACAAGCTCAACTTTTCGATTACTTTCGTTTCTTGAATTTCGTTGTGTGTCATGTGAATTTTTCAAACTGTCTATATATTGAATTCAGTCTCATATTATGAATAATAACGTGCAAAGTATCGACAGTCACGAAAACTCGCAGGAGAGTTGTGAGCAGTAAAACTAAGCGTGGAGCTTGTGGTATCAGCTAGTAATGCGGCAACTCGTGGCACTGACGCGGTGACCAAGGTAGAACTAGTACGATATTCTTTAAGATGCTGACGTGGAAGATCTGTATAGGGCGGTGTGCACGAAGTCAAATCCTTTCACTCTTAAAATTAATTGAAGCTTTCCTATGAGTCTACGCGAACAGAAACATGTATGATGACAAAATCAATACACTACGATCTACTTCGAGTTGTTAGTTACCCTGTTGAAGCGCCGTTGTTTAAAAAAACTTGTTATTAACGACTTGTTTTCGTCGACTGTGGTGTAACTTTTGGCGGTGTAAAACTGAGCCATTAAATAATAGTATGTAATTTAACTTTTATATTTTGTTTCCTACCTATTTGTAAAACTTTCCATAACTCTTATCTTACCACACACAGTAGTAGCACTACTAGGCCTAAATGGTGGAAAATCTGTAACGAGGTACGTACTGTACTATCGGGTACGAATAAACACCTAAAGCTTTCGAACAATTGTGCGCATTACGATATCTTTGTACATCAGTGGTACCAAAGCATTGATTCCAATTTAGATGATGGGGAACCGAAAAAAAGAGGCATTTGGCTCTAAATATGGTACAACGTATATTTAGTATTAGCTTAAATAGAAATAGTATATGCATCACTTTCGAAAAACAAAGCAAACCAAGCATAAAGTTCCTGAAACGCTATCGGTTCCGGCTTACGAATCTCAGCACGTGTATAAGTGGAGTTATCATCGATTCTGTCACACTGCTGAGTCGTAAAACGACAGAGGATAGAACACGATTTGTTCTTTCACCTGTCCCAAGGAATACAAGACTCGCTTGGTAAGCCTATTTCTATTGTTGGTCTGAATAGATCAGGACAATAGCGAACCAAGAGCCAGAAGCGATAATTGCTTGATTAGAGGTGCTCACTAGCTATGAGAATACGCCAGCGAGAAACCAAATCAAGTGTTGGTAGGAGGACGAGTAGCGCCTACCACAATAGCAAGCGCTGAGCTTTTAGCCTGATAAAGCAGGATAAAGAAGTATTTCAGTTTCAAGAAAAAAGCTGAGGCCCAAAGCTCAAACATGCTCTGAACGGAATAACAACAGGTCGTTTTTGCGGCATGGTTAATAAAGTCACGCGAACAGCTTCAGTGGAAGAAAAATACACAACACAGGAATGTTCGAAGCGGTACATATCATAGGCGGCTCCACCACCTAAAGGAATACTGTGCACAACCCAAACTTTAAATTCACCCGATAAAGTCCAGGCATCGCCCCAATGAAAAAAACCTATCCTAGGGTCGACAACAATCACCATCTTCACGGAGTATCTCTGTGCAGGTGCAGCTCGCTGAGGCATTCAGCTTTCACCCGCTTTAGAGAATGAAGTGAGTACCACATTAAATACGAGGCGCGACTTTCGTCCAGTGTGAAGCGTTTGAGCTTAGGAGGTGGGGGCTCTCTTGGCACATTACAAGTGAAGAAATTCTTTGCAAGGTTGGGGAGAATAAGAGTAATCTTCTAGCTATCATGGTATTCGCAAATGTTACACCTGTGTAGCACCGAGCGTATGCGCCTTACACTTTCCCTTCTGATTACGTGGTACGAAAGATCCATCTCCCACACAAGGTCATCCGACGAATCGGTCACAGTAAAACAGCAATTACCAATAGAAACAGGTAGCCCTGCAGGAATATGACGACGTGATAACAATAGAACTTCCATGCAAGCTGCCCCCAGATCGGCTGATACGTCGCGAGATTGACTTTGTTCCCGGTATCAAATCCTGCATCGTATGTCAATATGTAGGGGGGGCTTTTAAACGGTATTTCCGTCCAAAGCACGAGGTGGTAGGGGAAAGAAAGTAACTTATTCCTTCGGCGTCAAGGTATCTGTGTTTGAACGGCTCACGACAGGGCCTGTGGGTCACCCAAACGGAATTCTCGTGGGTTTTAGTAATTTGCCAATACCCACGCGACCCACTGCCCATGCAAGCTCGAACGCTGGAACCCTTGAAGTAAAATTTTTCATGCCTCCGCCAACGAGACCGCAAACAGCTCGGACAACGAGAACAGGAACGCCAACTGCTCGACGCAAACGGCCCGCTCCTACGCTACGTTGATGCCAAGTTTCTTGTATCCAAACTGGCCAGGTCTATCGATTCACAGGACCTGGGACCGCTGCTGACAATGCTGGTGAAGAGGACGACACACCAGTATTATCATACCCAGCCCAGGATGAGAACAATGGCGGTTCACAACCAGACGATATGGTTGGTGAGGAGGACAAGAACAGTGTTGCGTTGACATCGAAGAAGGCCTTAGAGCTTTTAGAGAAAGATGGGCTGCTGACCCCGGCGCCCCCTACAACTTTTACCAGTCCGGCATGGAAGGAGTTCATGATTTTGACAGATCTCTTTGGGGATGAAACGGCATTCTGTGTCTGCAGTCGGTGTTTTAAACCGTTGTACGTTTTCGTTGTGAGAAGGGTTCACTTTCTGGAACAAAAAATCTCAACCGACCGGAGCAGACACAAACCGAAAACGTCAGCGTACTCTTGACGAATTCTCAACTGTGGCCCCGAATCGTCCGACAAAGCACCGAGTGGCAGAAGGGTGTGTTCGCGTTTGCGTCAATGACGGCCGTCCGTGTCAGTCTTTTGCTTCCGAATCCATGAAGGCGCTGTTCGAAATTCTTCTTGATATTGGTAAGCGCAGTAAGGCGCGACTGATTTTGGGCGGGCAATACGGCTTGTTGCCTCATCCCATGACGCTTTCAAGAAATATTGTGAAGATCCACAAACTCGCGCAGTTGGACCTCGCTGCGCTGTTACGGACTTTGTTGTTGGTCCCGAACGATAGTATGGCAGGTGCGCTGACTGCCGACTTGTGGGAAGAAAAGTACTCTCGATTGCACTACTTAGGGCTGACAGTGCACTACGTTGAGGAATTTGTTTTAAAAGTTCGCCGATTTGCACTGCTCGACTTTGACTCCACTGCTACGCATAGCGCCTCTAACATCGAGAATCAGTTTTGTGGGCTCTTTCGGGACCGTTTCACAATACCAGTGGCCGATATCAGAGCCATCTTCACCAGTGATTCTGAATCCGCGATGCTTTCTTGCTTCAACGGGCTGCGCTGCGCCTGCCACAGACTGCAGACTGTGCTGAAAGACACGTTTGTGCACAAGGATAGTGGTGTCCCAGCCCACATCCGCACCATCTTTGTATGTGCGTCCAATCTAGTTACATACTTTCGAAAGTGTGGACAAGCTGCTGTACTCCCCTCGATCTTGTAGACTGCAATTGATGTCCGCTGGAACAGCCATTTGTCGATGCTGGAGAGCATATTGCGCAATTGCAGCGAGATTGAGGCGTTTCTTCACTCGCAAGCGATGAGGAGCGCATTGCATTGCTTGAGCAGCTCAGCCAGGGAGTTACGCTAGGTACGTCGTGGGACTATGTGCTAGCGCTGGTGTCGATCATGGGGGTGTTCAAGAGAGCAATTGACTTGCTGCAGAGTCGTGACCGCCCGACTCGGCATCATGTCTCCTACTTTAAGTCCCAACTGCCCCAAATGT